GACTTGGGGGTACTGGTGGATGGAAAGCTGGACATGAGCCAGCAATGTGCGCTCGCAGCCCAGAAGGCCAATCGTATCCTGGGCTGCATGAAAAGAAGCGTGGCCAGCAGGTTGAGGGAGGTGATTCTGCCCCTCCACTCTGCTCTGGTGAGATTAAGAGGTTCCAAAACACGGACCTGTTGGAGCAGGTCCAGAAGAGGGCCACGAAAATGATCAGGGGGATGGAATACCTCTCCTCTGAAGAAAGGCTGAGAGAGTTGGGGTTGTTCAGCCTAGAGAAGAGGCAGCTTCAGGGAGACTTTATTGCAGCCTATCAGTACTTCAAGGGGGCTTATAAAACAGATGGTAGCAAACTTTTTAGTGGGCCTGTTGCGACAGGACAAGGGGGAATGGCTTTAAACTAAAGGGGGGTAGATTGAGACTAGATATAAGGAAGAAATATTTTACGCTGAGGGTGGTGAAACACTGGCACAGGTTGCCCAGAGAGGTGGTGGATGCCCCATCCCTGGAGACATTCAAGGTCAGGTTGGACGGGGCTCTGAGCAACCTGATCTAGTTGAAGATGTCCCTGCCCACGGCAGGGGGGTTGGACTGGATGACCTTTAGAGGTCCCTTTCAACCCAAACTATTCTATGATTCTATGCAGTTCTGGGAGTGCCAACTGGAAGGGGTGGCCAGAAGCACTGGAACCTGATGAATTCCAGTAGAAGTATCTGCACAGACATCACACTGATTTGTAACATCCTTACAGAAAACAAAAGGAAAATAACTCAAGAGAGCAGAATTGGGCAAAACAGGCACCCAGCATGTTGGTAATTTGTACATAAGCCTCTTGGGTGGTAAGAATATCTCCTAGAAAGAGAAGTGTCTAGACACACCAGTGTGCTTGGAGTTTGTACTAGTCCTAGAAGCCTTTCCATCCCAAGCACAGCAGGGGGTGGTCAATCTCTCAGACAGATGGGACTGCTCCTACACCATTTCCATAAAGGTACACTTACCAGATTTCTTCTGTCACTTCATCAATGTTCATTCAGGTCACAAACTGCAACATGCATGCAGCTTCCTACCATACAACTTGATATGTGTGATCACTCCCACCACATAACACGGACACCACAATTTTGCTTAAAAGATAGACTAAGTATTTAGTGGATGCAGGAGAGCTGTGATGCCTTTCCTGAAGGATACCACACAACACAGACTGAACAAGGTTTTCTGGTCGACTGTATCTGCATGAAAGCTGAATAAAAGCAGACCTGTGAGCAGCCAGAGTTTTGTAGTGGCCTTCTAAACATGCAATTCACATTCTCTGTTCAGAGTATGTAGGTGTCAATGTTTTGGATTCTGTTTCAGAGTCCAGACACTTTAAGATTAGGTGTCATACTGCTATAATCAAAAGCAACCCAAACTCCTATTCAGTCTTGCCCATCATGGTCAGCAGTAAAGTTTTCAGCAGCAGCTATTGGAGTCTGAAGTCTCAGTCTTTAGATAAGATTTTAGGATCTTTGGAGCCCATAAGATTTGTTTTCCATAGGGTTTTTAATCAATCTTGAAATTTCCATATGATGGGCACACAACAAGGAAAAAGGCAGGAAAGATGGAAGGCAATGATGTTCTTCCATCTGCAAAATTCCAGTTCTTATGGTGTCAGTAACTCTAAGCCACTGGAAAAAATAATTCAAAAACATAAACTAAAAAAAAAAAAGATAAGGACTTATCCTATTAGCTGTTGCAAGTAAAATTTCTTCTCTTCTTGGAGCAGTAATTCATGAGTCTATTTTCTGTATTACTGGCTTCTGTCAACATTGTGAAAGAGGGATGACTCCTCATTGTCAAGACATTTTCACTTTTAGCACAGGGAGAAATTTTTAGTTAAAACACTGGTAGAACCCTAGTCTAAAGCTTCTGAAGAACCTGTCATTTAAAAAATAAGTACATAAAAAATTCACAGAGTAAATTAAATTCCAGTATTTTTGCCAGTCATTTATTAGCAACATGTCTTTTTATTAATGGATACCTGCAGTGGGGTTAGATGAATCTGGCTTCGTGCCTAACATATAAATACACAGAAATCCCTGTGCATACAAAAGGTGCCCCTCCCCCCCTTTTACTCTGCCTGTTCTCTAGCTAGCTTTGAAAGATGATTTTTAGTGTTCTTTCCAATTAGCCTTTACATCACCTCTCTTCTGAGATTTCCCTCCTCAAATTGTCTTACATAATGACTTTTTGAAGATTACAGTGCAAAGCAGCTACTCTTCTATGCAGAAAACATAAGAACACCACTACTTTTGACCCAAAAATAGATTTTAAGAAGTTATTACTATGAGTCAGTAACAAAGTAAATAGAATGAAAAATTTCATCTCATTCAACATTTAATTGTGCAAGATACTGTACCTGTTTTCCAGATTTATGAAATAAACTTGTGAAAGGTGGCATTCAACCCTTTTAGAGTTAGAAATATTTCTGCCACAGGAATGATGATGTTTTGCTGAAGCAATTTAAATTGCTTAAACCCAAATCGAAACAAAAATTTGAAAGAAGTTTTCACACGTACTTCTTAACACGTGATCTTCAAGATAACACATGGGTAAAAAAACAACATGTGACCTAAATGAATAAAGACATACAGGAAAAATAGCTGACATGAAACGGGCTATGAAAAGGCAGTCTTCCTTTCTGTGTTTGTAATTTTACAACATACTGGTCCACAATGGGGCTACATTTCACATTACTGTGTCATACAGACAAAACCAAAACTCACGTTTTAACTGAACAACTTGTAACAATCCTCTATGCATCTTACAAAACCACTATCACTGCAAAATAAAGAGCAAAAGAAGACCTGTTGTTGCATTGCAAATACATGAGAGAGAGGAGAAGGGCGAGAGGAGGAAGAGAGAGATATTTTTCCTAGAGAGAAGTTTAATCTCTATTATTGCCAAAAGAACAATTTTTTTTTTTTTTTTTACCTAAAACAAGGATGCCAAAGCACTGGAACTATTTGTATTCCATACTTAGAAGTCACAATAATTTAAAAAATTATTTCCGATAAACTACTTTACTTGCCTATGTATCTGTTCACCTCTCTCTGGTTTATATTTTCAATAGCTCATTTAGAAACTCTGAAACCTGAATGGGGAATTGTTTCTCATCTCATTAACACATATGCAAATCAATAAACGTTAGAACAAAGAAACTAAAACACCGTTAAGGTCATATGTCCTCCCTCCAATATACAGTGGACCAGCTAGCTGCTTCACTTTTAACCTTGTTTCCAAAGAAAAGAGAATTCCTGACAACATGCTGACATTGTCATTTCTTCCCACCTTGTCTCTCTTCCCCACTTCCTTCCCCTACCTCTGAACCTGCTGGTCAGTTTCCATGAAACAAGGAGGGGAGGCCTCAGAGGAATGTATCTGCTACATGTTTCAAAACAACTGCCAGACAGAGAAAAGCCAGGCAAGTAATAATTCCTGCTAAAGTGCAACTACAGCATGAGCCCAAGAATTACTCTTTCTGTCTCACCTGCAGCTCCTGGACAGCTTAGCTTCCAGATCCCTAGCTTGGAATCAGCCACAGCACATGCTCAGAGAACCAGGAATATCAGGAAGGGTTTTTTTGAGAAATTGGAAGGAAAGCAAACTTGAGGACTGCCTGAAAAGGGGAGATGACAACAGGTATGGTGGAGGAAGCCTACATCATGGAAGGGTATTTACAGTGTGGAATGGCAGACTAGAGCAGGGAGCACACACACGCATAGAAGCATATTTCAGTAGACCTTCTGCTCCCAGAACACCTTGCTAGAACCATTAATTTAATATTAGGAAAAAAATTTGCAAGTACAATGTGTCTGTCCATAAAAGAACACTACAAAAAGACTGTTATAAATACCTTCAATATCCTCTGCATCTCCTAAACCAAATTCCTCCAATAGATCTGCAAAACAAATAAGTCATATGCTTTACTAAATACTCCTATCCAGAAAGATTATGAAGCTAAACCCAGAACCGCATGAAGTGAGTATTACCTGATTTCTGCTGCCTTCTTTTAGGAGAGGTTTCATTCATTTCCAAAACAGATTCGGGAGTCTTCAGCTATGAAAGACACAATCCAATGATAAAAAAACAAATTAAAAGTAACTACATACTATTTAATGAGCAGAACAAGTAGTCAGTCTGACATGAAAAAGTACTTACCTGGGAATTGTTTGGTTTCTCTGAAAAGCCTAGAGGTGAAAAATATTTTGGGAAGTGTTATTTTATTTAATTGAAGGTATCTTTTACTCCATTCAACACCAGTAGTTTCAACAACTAAGTATTAGTTGCAAGCATTATTTCACTGAGAGTATGATGCCTACCATTCAGTTTACCTCATCATACAACATTTGTATCAGTACACAAGAAATGGACAATGCATACTTCCCATCGTGCACCTTGGATTTAAAAAAAATAATAATCACAGAACTAGGACCATTCACGTGAAGCAATAAGGTCATGCTCATTAATAGAACAAGATCAAACTATTTAGTGGTTTTGAGGAGCTGAATCCTCCTTTCTAAAAGGATTATTTCAAAAGCCAAAGTTGGTCTACTGTAATGAATGATCATAAAACAGTCCACAAGCACTATAACTGTGATTATCCTACAAGTGTTTAATGTTGAGGAGCATTTTCCTTTTCATTGATGGGACAGAGAAAGCATGGGTGCAGACACAGAAACCTCATACACGTGTCATTTGATGAGGTAAAATCAAGCTAGTTCTCAACAAATTGTTCTGGTTTAGCTTGCAAGGAAACAAAAGAAACAAATGTTGTTTGGTTGTAATCTCCATTTATAGCATCGTTCCAAATAGAATCATAGAATCATTAAGGTTGGAAGAGACCTCCAAGATCATCGAGTCCAACCGTCAACCCAACAACACCATGCCTACTAAACCATGTCCCGAAGTGCCTCATCCACACGTCTTTTAAATACTTCCAGGGATGGTGACTCAACCACTTCCCT